GGACTTCCAAGGAGAAATCGACAATACAATCATAGCAGGGGACTTCAACACCCCGTTGACAGCACTGGATAGATCCTCTAGGCAAAAAATTAGCAAGGAAACAGAAACTCTAAATGAAGCACTAGACCAAATGGATTTAATAGATATCTACAGAGAATTACACCCCAAAACTACAGAATACACATTCTTCTCAAGTGCACATGGGACATTCTCAAAGATAGACCACATGATAGGACACAAACTAAATCTCTACAAGTTCAAGAAGATTGAAATCATATCAAGCATCTTCTCAGATCACAATGGCATGAAACTAGAAATCAATTGCAACAAGAACATGCAAAGACATTTCAACACATGGAGGCTAAATAGCATGTTGTTAAACAATGAATGGGTCATCGAGGAGATCAAGGAAGAAATCAGAAACTTCCTGGAAACCAATGAAAATGAACACACAACAACACAAAATCTATGGGATGCAGCGAAAGCAGTTCTGAGAGGGAAGTTCATAGCACTACAGGCCTACCTCAAAAAACAAGAAAAATTTCTAATTGACTGTCTAACCTCACAACTTAAAGAATTAGAAAGCAAACAAAAAGAAAACCCCAGAGCAAGTAGAAGGAAGGAAATAGTAAAGATCAGAGCAGAAATAAATGACATAGAGACCAAAAAAACAATTCAAAGGGTCAATGAAACAAAGAGCTGGTTTTTCGAAAAGATAAACAAGATTGATGGACCCTTAGCTAGACTCACCAAGAAACAAAGAGAGAGAACCCAAATACACAAAATCAGAAATGAAAGAGGAGAAGTAACAACCAACACCACGGAAATACAAAAGATCGTTAACAACTACTACGAACAACTATATGGCAACAAATTCGACAATCTAAGCGAAATGGACAAATTTCTAGAAACACACAGTCTCCCAAAACTATTCCCGGAAGAGATAGAAAACTTGAACAGACCAATAACAACTAAGGAAATTGAAGAGGTAATCAAGACTCTCCCAGCAAACAAGAGCCCAGGCCCAGATGGTTTCACGGGGGAGTTTTACCGAACATTCAAAAAAGAACTAACACCCATTCTCCTCAAACTATTTCAAAAAATTCAAGAAGAAGGAAGACTTCCAAACACGTTCTATGAGGCCAGCATAATTCTAATTCCAAAACCAGAAAAAGACACTACGAGGAAAGAAAACTACAGGCCAATATCCCTGATGAACATAGATGCCAAAATCCTGAACAAAATATTAGCAAATCGGATCCAGAAATACATCAAAAAAATTATTCACCATGACCAAGTGGGATTCATTCCAGGGATGCAAGGCTGGTACAATATTCGCAAATCAATAAACGTGATACACCACATAAACAAAATGAAGAATAAAAACCACATGATCATATCAATAGATGCTGAAAAAGCATTCGACAAAATCCAGCATCCATTTCTGATAAAAACGCTCAGCAATGTAGGAATAGAGGGATCATATCTCGACATAATAAAGGCCATATATGAGAGACCTACAGCCAACATCATACTCAATGGACAGAAACTAAAAACATTTCCATTAAGAACAGGAACAAGACAGGGATGTCCACTTTCGCCACTCTTATTTAACATTGTACTGGAAGTCTTAGCCACAGCAATCAGACATGAAGAAAAAATAAAAGGGATCCAAATTGGAAAGGAGGAAGTGAAACTGTCATTATTTGCAGATGACATGATATTGTACATAGTAAACCCTAAAGACTCCATCAAAAATCTACTACACTTAATAAATGAATTTGGCAAAGTAGCAGGATACAAAATTAACGTCAAGAAATCGACGGCATTCTTGTACATCAATGATGAACTCACAGAAAGAGAAACTGAAAAAACAATCCCATTTACCATCGCGCCAAAAAAATTACGATACCTAGGAATAAACTTAACCAAAGAAGTAAAGGACCTATTTGCAGAAAACTACAGGTCATTGAAAAAAGAAATAGAGGAAGATATAAAAAAGTGGAAGCACATACCCTGTTCATGGATTGGAAGAATTAACATCATTAAAATGTCCATACTACCCAAAGCAATCTATAGATTCAATGCAATCCCCATCAAAATACCAACGACATATTTCATAGAACTAGAACAAATACTTCAAAAGTTCATATGGAACCAAAAAAGACCCCGAATAGCCACAGCAATCTTGAAAAAGAAGAACAAAGTAGGTGGGATCACAATACCAGATATCAGGTTATACTACAAAGCGACTGTAACCAAAACAGCCTGGTACTGGCACAAGAACAGGCATATAGACCAGTGGAACAGAACTGAAAACCCAGAAATGGACCCAAGGCAATACGCTCAATTAATATTTGACAAAGGTGGCAAGAGCATACAGTGGAGTAAAGACAGCCTCTTTATTAAATGGTGTTGGGAAAATTGGACAGCTACATGCAAAAAAATGAAATTAGACCATCAACTTACACCATACACAAAAATAAACTCGAAATGGATAAAAGACTTAAATGTGACCCGTGAATCCATAAAAATTCTAGAACAAAATGTAGGCAACAAAATTTCAGACATCATACACAGCAGAATTTTCACTGATACATCACCTAAGGCAACAGAAATAAAGGAGAAAATGAACACATGGGACTACATCAAACTAAAAAGCTTCTGCACAGCAAAAGAAACAATCATCAAAATGGAAAGACAACCCACTGTATGGGAGAACATCACTGCCAATGATGTATCAGATAAGGGGTTAATTTCCAATATATAGAGAGTGCTCATACAACTCAACAAAAGGAAGACAAAGAACCCAATTAAAAAATGGGCAGAGGAGCTGAATAGACACCTCTCCAAACAGGACATACAAATGGCCAAGAGACATATGAAGAAATGCTCAACATCACTAATCATCAGAGAGATGCAAATTAAAACAACAATGAGGTATCACCTCACACCTGTCAGAATGGCCGCCATCAACAAATCATCAAACAACAAGTGTTGGCGAGGGTGTGGAGAAAAGGGGACTCTAATACACTGCTGGTGGGAATGCAGACTGGTGCAGCCGCTATGGAAAACAATATGGTGCTACCTCAAAAAATTAAAAATTGAACTGCCATTTGACCCAGTGATCCCACTGCTGGGAATATACCCTAAGAAGCCTGAAACACCAATCAGGAAGAATATATGTACCCCCATGTTCATAGCAGCACTATTACAATAGCTAAGATCTGGAAACAGCCCAAGTGTCCACCAGTAGACGAATGGATAAAAAAAGCTGTGGTACATATACACAATGGAGTACTATGCAGCGGTAAGAAAGAAAGATCTCTTATCCTTTGAGACGACATGGAGGGACCTGGAAAGTATTATCCTAAGTGAAAGAAGCCAAGCAGAAAAAGACAAATACCACATGATCTCACTTATATACGGAACATAATGAACATAACAGTCTGAGGAATACAGTAGACCCAGACACATGGAAGTAGGGCACAGACTGACATCCCTCAGAAGAGGGGATGGGGGGTGAGGGGGTGGGAAGAGATAAACCACAGAACTTATATGCATGTATGCATGACCAATGGACATGGACAACTAAGCCGGGGACAGGGTGGAGGGGGGGTGGGGTGGGGGGTGCCAATGGGGTAAAAAGGTAAAATATCTGTAACAAAAAAATAAATAAAAATTCATTAAAAAAATAAATAAATAAATAAACCTACCATAAAGTGCCCTGGCCAGTTTGGCTCAGCGGTTAGAGCGTCGGCCTGCGGTCCGGAGAGACCCGGGTTCGGTTCCCGCTAAGGGCACGTACCTCGGTTGCAGTTTGTCCCCGGCCCTGGTTGGTCGTGCGGGTGGCAGCCACTTGATGTGTCCCTTCATGTCGATGTTTCTCTCTCTCTCTCTCTCCCTCCCACTCTATCTGTACAAAAAAATGGAAAAATATCCTCGGGTGAGGATAAAAAAAATAAATAAATAAATAAACCTACCATAAAGTCACTTTACATAATGTATATGCCTTAATTAAAAGATAGATATATATATTTTGTATATAATAACATTTATGTATAATACTTAACACATACATTAAATATATATAATATGTATTTTTTGTCTGTCTCCTCGAATGGGCTGACAGTTCCTTGAAGGAGAGACTGTATTATGTTCCTCTGCATTGCTATAACTCTCACATAAAAGGTTCTCAATAAATACGGAAAGGGAGGGGGAGGAAGGAAAGATGGGAGGGAACGAAGGAAGTCAGTCTACTGACTCCCAATTCTCCTCTTTCTTCTATGGAAAACCAGTATTATTTGTACATTTAACTACAGTCTCCTTAATAAGGTATGACCACAAAAATCCAGCCCTGGCCAGTTTGGCTCAGCGGTTAGAGCATCGGCCTGCGGTCCTGAGAGACCCAGGTTCGGTTCCTGCTTAGGGCACGTACCTCGGTTGCAGTTTGTCCCCGGCCCTGGTTGGTCGTGTGGGTGGCAGCCACTCGATGTGTTCCTTTCACATCGATGTTTCTCTCTCTCTCTCTCTTCCTCTCTCTCCCTCCCACTCTACCTGAACAAAGAATGGAAAAATGTCCTCGGGTGAGGATAAAAAAAAAAAATCCAAATATACTTCTAGATAAAACACTTTTAATTAACCCAGCATAGTATCAGTATGTTTTTCTATATTTAATAATTTTCCCGTATTAAAGAGTGATTTGTAAAGAAGCCAGTGATGGCATTTTCAATGTGCATACCTGAGCCACACAGATGCTAACATCCCAATAAATGAAGCAAAGAGGAATTTGCTGGTCCCTGCAGCCAACACACAAGTGATCCACAGAAACCAGACAGTGACTCCTTAGACAGCTACAACTGGCGCAGTCACACGTGCTGGGCTAGAGGACTCCATTACCTACTTTTCTCTTGGCAATCCCTAGTTTATGCTTCCCTTTTAGGTATTAAATTAGAATGCTTAACAGTGTAGTACGTGACAACAATTGCTGAGGGTTTCACCTTGTTTAGTAAGGGCTTCTCGGAGGGCAGGAGTGATCATAGCTCTCCTTTCACTGGCTTCCTTCTTCACTGTGTTCCTGAACACACCCGCTTTCTCTTCCTGCTGCTCCTCTTCTCTCTGTATAAAAATAAAAGGAATGAAAGCCAGAAATGGCAATGTGCAATGAAAATATCAGCACAACAACCATGAACAGGTAGTATGGATAAAAAGGTTCATCACAAACCATGGCCCACAACCCCATTCTCTCTAAAGTGATCACATTTCCAGTCACATTATGATCTAAAGACTAGCAGTCTGGTTTTTTTTGTTACTATTTTTTTTTTCCCCAAAAAAGGTAGCTACATACTCAAACACATATACCCACAAAACATAATCAATAATCATGTATCTGTTATTGGTGGAAGTGGGATTCTTGGGGTATCACTGGAATAAGAATTTCCAGAGGCCCCCTCAGGAAGATAGGATATTGTATAAAGCTTCACTTCTATTGAATTACATCCCTGAGTTCCCAAGGTCCCATTTCCCTCTGTCCTGCCATGGAAGAAGGTGTAGTTGTGATTTCAATAGGGCTGGGATCAAAGTCACTGCTCAGAGTTTTGGTTGCATGTTGGAGCAGTACCCAGTCCAGCGTTAAGCTAGTGTAGCCTGTGTTCCCAGTTGCAGTCCTTCAGTCCACTGTGTGTGGGATCTGCAGGGCCATATGACTATGGAGGGAGCATGGGCAGGAGCAAAGCCAAAGAGGAACCAGAGAGCCAAGAGCCAAGAGTGCCAAGAACACAACCTCCTTTGTCTCAGGAATTATATATTCCCAAATTTTCACAGGCTTGCATTGGCCCTGCCCCACCCCCAACCAATGATTTTGGTTCCGGGGTTTGACTGACAGGCACCTTCCCTGTGTCACCCTGGCTCACTGTGCATGCACCCACCTTCCCCTTTGTCCAGTCCTTTCCCCCCAGTAATCAGGAAACGGACTGGTGCTTCCCTGGGGAGTGTCAAGCTGCAGGTTCCTGGTGAAGCTGCCCAAATGCCATGCTTATGCCTGGCCATCCTTTTGTTCCTTTCCTATTATTATAACTAGCTAATGACAATGGTACCGTATCTATATGTTAAACATTTTAGCACACTGAGTACAAACCACTGCATAACTTCAGCAAGTTATTTCTCTGAATTTCACATTTCTGACTGAAAAAGGGAGGAAGTAGAATCTATAGAGCAGAAATGTATTGAAGATTAAATGAAATAAAATCACCTGGCACAGTGCCTGATAGATAATAGAGTTCAATAAATTATAGCTACTATGGGTTACTGTAGCTGCAAACCCCAAATACAAGTCCAAAAAGTACTCTGGGCTGCCCAGACCACCGTCTGCTGGAGACCAAGTTACTCCACCACTTCCACCTGACGCCCCAGTGGCTCCTTTAGAAGATCCTGTGAGGAAATTTGTCTTCAGTAATAGAAAGAAATCTGAAGGATGAAACTGATTGTTTTCTTTTGACTTTGACCACTAGAAAATTCCACAGCATACCACAAAATCACTGTAAAAGGTCTTGCAAGTGGCTTCATATTACAAGATGACCTTCATTCACCCTTTGCACTGGTTTCTTCCTCTTTTTAAATCTTATTATATGTATTTTTTAAAGCTATCTCAATGTCTTTTTGGAAGATGGTAGAGGGCTATTCGATATTTTCGAATCAACACACAGTCTGTGCTCCACTTCAGAGGAAACACTCATCAGATCTTAGTAAGAGCTGAAGAAATTCAAAATAACTCACCTCGGCAGCAGCCCACCCAAGCCCCAGACTACCCTCAGTGCCTCCATTTCCAATGTCCAGCCCCCAGTGAATCAGTGAGCAGACCCACAGCAGTACCCTTTCCACCTAAAATGAAAATACCTCACAGATGACAAGACGTCTGAGATCTGCATCAAACTAATACAGAAGGGAGGATGGTCCACGTTTGAAGGTGGGCAATAGGTGATAGGGATTCCCGGTATCACTCTATTTCTGTGAACGTTCAGTGTTCTCTATTTAAAATGTAAAACAGATTAAATATTTTTTAAAATAGAGAAAGGTAAACCGATCAAATTCAGAGTTAACTCCTCTGCCTTTTGTTACTTCAGCAACTCACTTTGAAATAGGAGGTTGGTGAAAAAGACTTTAGAGAGTCAAATGTACCAAAAGAGCAACAAACCCAGTTAGTTCTATCTGTTCTCAAGGTCAGCATTCCAAACTACTAAGTGTAATAAAAATGCAAAGTTAATGAACAATTTTGCTTCAACTGCACATTCTCAGATGGAACTGAAAAAACTTATAAACAAACATCAATCATTTGTTCTTATCTACTATAAAACTAATCAGTTTGATGCTGGGCATTTTAAATAAATTAAAAGGCTCCAGTTATTATTTTAAGTTTCGTTGTGTTTTTTTTTTTAAAGAATCCTTTGGCTTTTATAAAAGTCTATTTCAGACCTGAAATCAAAGAAGTGAGCTGAAAAGGAAGTCTTATGGTGGAGCAAAATTAACCAACCTTGACATAGACTGCATTTCAATGTCTGAAGTAATTCCATAGCACGTTACTGTAAGTCCTTACTAATGATGCAAAAATTGAAAGGTGGCAGTATTTACTCTTGAAAGCCACTGTCACCATAAAAACATCACCAGCTTACTTGCTTACCACAAAGGCCACATAAACCGAACATTGGACCCAGCCCATGACACTGGCCTCTGACCACTGTGCTCTACAGACACCCTCTTGTGGTTGAAAACAAAACAAACTTCTGACCACTATGAAATAAATATCCTCTTAAACAAATGGCGACGAACGTCATCCATGTCCCATCACTAGAGAAACTATCTGTTATAAAATGTGAGTGTAGCTATCCAGATTCAATAATTTAGACACAAAGTTTATATGGAAAGAGATCAGAGGCTATGATTAAAAGTCTTGAGCACTCAGAACAAACAACATTTATCATTCTTTGCCTTTATGGCAGTTTAATCTTATATACCATATGTAGCAGCAACTTTATTTCTAAAAAGAAATACAATGGTTCATAATACTCCCAGAGGAAGTCAAAGCACCATTCAAATTCTAATCTCCTAGCCGCAGACATTGTTCACTGTTTGCCTAGAATACAACAATATAACAATGACATAAGACCTATGTATTTTTTTTTTATATAGCTGTTACACAGCCAAAGCAGAAATAAATGAAGATCCCAGACTGGTCAGCCTTTATTCATCCCTCACCTGTATACCATATTTAACAAGGTATTAACTCCCAACATATTTGTTCTCCCCATCTGCAATGCCATTCCTTTTGCCCAAAGCCTTGCTTTCTTCTAAGGGGCAACTGCAACAGCCAAGCTAAATGATCTGCCTGCCTCCCTCCTCTACTTCCACCCCTTCCCCAACTCCCAAACCCATCACACTTGCCTTGAAAGAAAACCTCTCCAAACTGCTATTTCCCAACATGAAAAAAGAAAACCTGATTATAAGCTAACTTCCTAAGCGCTTGAGAAAATGACTATATATATATCAGTGAAAAGTTCTTTATAAACAGAATAGACTATATGAATCTTATGTAATGACGGGAGTAAAAAGTGGTACTAATTTTCTTTCTTTTTTTTTTTTTAAATAAAAGACATTATACAATATTACCTAATTCATTTTCACACCACCATCCCAGAAACCACAGTACCACCCCAAAATTGCCTAGGATAAAAACAAGGCAAAAAAGTGTTGTTTTAATGATCTTAAGGTAAAATCCCACCTAGTTGGACAATGCCAAACAGGTGTTTTGCAACAAACACGCTTTTCATGACCAAGGCATACATTTCTTTTGGGGGGGGAAAGGTGTTTCTGATTGTTTCTTTAAAACTGTTTATTGCCCTGACCGGTTTGGCTCAGCGGTTGGAGCGTTGGCCTGCGGACCAGAGAATCCCAGGTTCAGTTCCCACTAAGGGCACATACTTCGGTTGCTATTTGACACTGACCCTGGTTGGGTTGTGCGGGTGGCAACCACTCGACGTGTCCCTTTCACGTCGATGTTTCTCTCTCTCTCTTCCTCTCTCTCCCTCCCACTCTATCTGAACAAAAAATGGAAAAATGTCCTTGGGTGAGGAAAAAAAAATAAAATAAAAATAAAACTGTTTATTTTATTGATCCTTGTTTACCATCAGGTGATTCCCTTCCTTGCCAATTCATGCAGGAGATGTTGGATACAAAATCTCTAGGTCATTTTTCTATACAGTCAGCCTGTCTAGGCATGGAGCCATGCCAGCACAGGGTGGGCATTCAGTAAATGTTGACCAAATAAATGAAGAAATCCCTCAAAACCACCAGACAGCTATTTCTAGCTCTAGAAAAACAGTCTCACTTCTTTCAGTAACTCCTTCTAGATCCCGAAACTTTCAACATTATCAAGTCTTCTTCAGGTGTAATTAAAACTCCACCTGCTGCAATTTACCCCACTTCTGCAGGTTCCTACTTCTATAATGAAGGAATCTCCTACCTACGACTATTCACTTGTCAGAGCTCAGTTTTTAAATGACCAATTTTGAACAGGACTCAAAGTTCTTTGTGTGTACTAGGTTTTAAGGCTGCTTTGTGAACTTCTTGAAAAGCAGTTTGACCAGGTGTGTCAAGAACCTTCAAATGGTTTTCCTCTGACTCAGTAATTCTATTTTGGATAACCTGACTTAAGGAATTCACTATGAAGGCTGCCTGCACGGGGCACGGGTGAGTAGGCCCATTTTAAGGCAGTGTCTCAGAGTTGAAGGGATGTCACCTTTTGTTTCTGTGTAAACACTGAAAATCTTAAAAACAATTATGAAAGGAGAACTGGCTTCATGTTATTTCACTGCGGTACTATGCAGCTTTATAACCAGAACTGGAACCATGAAACCCTCTTGTAAATGGAAATGTTTCTCTAGTGAGTAATTACCAAGCAGTCACCATTTATTTTCAATACTAATGATACTGATATCACTGTTTGTCTTCTTAACTAAAACATACTGTGGGGAGTGTTTAGCAATATTTACTTACAGCAGAAAAAAAGATAGCAATCCCCTTTACATTTACAAATCATAACAAGAGAGAAACAAAATATAAATTAC